GCCTTCTGCCTGTTACATACATTTCAACAAAACCATTATACCCTGATTTCCCATTTTCAATGGGTTCAGGGTATAAAAATAAATAAATAAATAAATAAAAACTAAATTAAATCAAATTAAATTAACAATAAAAAAATCAACGGTTGATCTCTTCTATTTCTTGACTAAAAACTATGTATATATGTATGCCACTCGGGGGCGTGTCAAAACTGTTAAATTGGATAGGTATGTTACTCCCTGCTGACTGCTTTAAAACCAAACATGACTCAACTGTATTTGCACAGTGAGTATTATGCAGTCGTTGCCACCCGACTGTAACATTCTCGTTTGTTAATATTAGTATTAAATTTTCAATATTTTTATTTTGCGGCGATAGGGAGCTGCTTTTAAGTTGATATGCCAGTGAAAGTCAAACATTTTCTTAAGAATAACCAAAATATAATGTTAGGCTAAAATAAATTTTTATTGTCTATAATCCACAAGTGAAAACAATTAAATTTTTCCAGAATTTTCTCCATGAAAATATGACTGAAATTGAGACTTTAAGCGCTGAAAGCAGCAACAGATCAAGTTTTTAATCTGCTTCACCAATGGCAGCTATCGAAATTGAAATATAAGAATGCCGTCGGAAAGACAGAAAGAAAGAACGAGAGTGTCTGTGAGAGAGAGAGAGAGAGAGAGACAGGGAGGCTGAATTGTTGGCCAGTTAAATGGCTAACTGAAATTGGCGTGTGCCCATTTTATGGCTTGTAGTTGGTAAGATTTTATGAGCCCGCTGGGCGCTTGTTAGCTCAGTCGGTTTAATGGGCGTGTGCCAGGGAATCTATCATAGCTTTACGGCTCATAAAAGCCTAGTTCCCATAAACGCATAAATGTTGTTATTTGACGCGATTGAGGAATTGCGTGCGAATGACAAGGGCAAATAAATCAAATTCATTGCATGCATTCGATATCTCAATCCCTATGCAAATAGTGCACAAACAAGAGAGGGCGGGAGCGGGCTGCCACTTAATCAAAAGAAAAGACCTAAACAAACAGTAGGCGCTACAACAGTTGAGATAGATGTTTAGCAGCTGACACCATACCCACCAGGACATGCCATGGCTCCTGCATCCTCCTCAATGCCAAGGCAAACAGAGACACACAGCAGCAGCCCAGGACGTGCCAGGAGACCCACTCAGGACGCCCGAAAAACAGCAAATTGTCAGCTGTCGCCTTTCAATTTTCAAGTTGTGCTTAGCTTTTCTTGCGCTCAAGTCAAAGAATTCGTTTGTTTTCTTTATGAACCACAGGCATGACATCAGCCGGAGCACCCGAACGGGGTTCACTTCGATGTTTTTCTTGTTTCTATTTCTATTTCCATTGTTGTTTTTGTTTCTGTGTTGTTTTCTTTTTGAAGTTTCGCCATTGTCGCTGGGTTCTTGGATCGCAGTTGCTGAGTCGAATTTTTGTGCAAGTTTCCAATTCATTTAGTTTTATTGCAAGCCAAACCACGGGTCGGGCCAAAAGTCATTCGCAGTTCGACCAACCCGTTGGCCATTGCTCCAGCTTATCGAGCACGCAACGCACTTAGCAAAGGTATATTAAGATTAGCATAACCTAAACTATTTACAAGTATAAATTTCATGCGAATTGGGCCAGTTTCTGAAATTGAGCTAGACCTCTAGATGCCTTAGATGCCTTGGTAAGTGATGTCCACACGTCCAACGTAAACAAGTTCTCAGAACATATTTGTTTCATTCTGTTCCGATCCCTTTCCAGGAAGTCACAGTTCTAACTTAATGTTGTCCTCTTAGAAATAAATGAACGCAGCTGCTGTTGCTTATTGTGCGCTTTGCCAATTCTGCTGTTTGTTTTCTCTTTGAGTTTCCCACGAAATTCAAATGATATGCATATTCCAGAGCAGTCAAGGGTATTTGGCATGACAAACAGTTTTAATTGTTTTCTTTGCCTTTTTTATTTTGAGGGGATAACGTACTTTCCTTTTTCATTTTCATTTTCATTTCGGTGTTTTTTTTTTTTCGATTTATTTGACCCAGGCACGCGTTGGCAACAAGTCAACGTCTTGGCTTTTTCTGGCTAATTGTACTCTTCGATTAGCCATTGAGCCGAGCATTAGACGGCCTTGCCCAAAATTCGATTCCACAAAAGAAAAAGTCGAAATTTCTGACAGCGGCTTCATTTGATTAAAAGCCTTGTCGGCAGCTGGCATTCGGGGCGTATGAGTAATGAGCAGAGAGACAGAAGCAAAAAGGAATTTACAATGCAAAGTTCATTGAGCCCGCACACACGCTCGATTCAATTAGATTTGTGGCTCCTACAACTGTGCCCAACTTGCTCAAATTATCGTCCCCACTGCACTCGTCCATCAAGATAAGCGCCCCTAGAACACCCGCCCTGCTGCGGTCGACCCTCCTTGATTTAAGCCCAGCCATTTAGGCAGCTCGCAGCCCCACACAGCTGCCCACGCTGGGCGCTCCACATGCGCCACATGTGCTCTATGCTAATCAGCCTGTGCCCGTCCTGACCACAGACTTTGTCGCAGCAATTACAATTGAATCGCCGGCCAGTGGATGTTGGCTAAGGTGGCGTAATACCCAATTAAATAGTGTGAGCAAATGTGAGCATTTGCTCTGGCTTATCTTATCTGCATATCTCATGAATAATCCATGGCCGAAAAGCAGATTATTGTCTGTGATTATTTGCGCCACATTCAGCCTAGATGTCCTTGATGCGATTATACTTCTGTATATATGCCAGAGCTGTCTGAGAGGGCGTGAAAATAGTTGCTGATGATATG